AGACATTAGCCAGTGTCTCGGCCAAAGAAGGGACCCCGTGGCTGCTTCGTCGAACTCCGTTAGCATTCGTTCCTCATCCATCTGCTCCAACTACATCTGCTACAGTATCAGTGAAGCATTGGGCCAGTCTTGACTTATCACAGTTCAAAATCATGATGGCGGACCGTCTTAGCCCTTTGCACGAAGATTGAGGTATAACTCCGGTCAAAGAACGCTTTGATCTGGTGAACAAATCCTAAGTGACTCTTCAGGCTGGGGGTCGTACGCATCCTCTCACCAAATCAAAGCAATCCTAGGTTCGGGAAACTCCAATTTTCACCCACTTGGGGGCTCGTATTGAAACTCAGGAGCAAATTAAGACCCTACACTCGTAAGGTGGTGGTCCTAAACGTGCGATTCCTGACGTGACATTGGATCGCTCAAAGATGATAACAAGTCATTCCGAGTAGGGGTGTGCAAACGGTCGGTCGGCTCGGTTTTTACTAAATTTTGGACAAACGAACCCGTCCGCCTATAATTCAAAACCAAACCGTTGCAAGTCGGTTCGATGCGGTTCGGTTCGGCTTGTTCGGTTCTAACTTTATCAAACTTGTTATCAAACAACATAATGTGTTAAAAAAAAAAGATATCAACAAAGTAGGAGATTATGAAGCATTAAACACTGATATTGTTTTTAAAAGTTTCATTCGTATGAGCTAACTCCCCTGTTTCCTACGATAACCAGAGAGGGCTAAAGAAGGGAGTATGTTAAAAATTTCCCGTAAATCCTCTTCACCGTTTTTCCAGCTTTAGTCGTCATCCTCATCGTCGTCCTGCGATATATAAAAAAAGCTAGAAGTTAGAACTAACACGAGAGCCACTAGAAGTCTAGAACTAACAGCCACAGGGGCTCAACTAGAACTAACATACCACTAGAACTAACGCTTATATTAGAAATAACACTAGCTTCAAGTTAGAACTAACATGACATCAGCTAGAACTAATACGAGAGCCACTAGAACTAACAGGGGTTCAACTAGAACTAACATACCACTAGAACTAACACTTATATTAGAAATAACACTACCTGAAAGTTAGAACTAACATGACATCAGGTGGAACTAACACGAGAGCCACTAGAATTAACATGGGCTCAATTAGAACTAACATACCACTAGAGTACCTGCAAGTTAGAACTAACACGAGAGCCACTAGAACTAACAGGGGTTCAACTAGAACTAACATACTATTAGAACTAATATTTATATTAGAAATAACACTAGCTAAAAGTTAGAACTAACATGACATCAACTAGAACTAACACGAGAGCCACTAGAATTAACGGGGGCTCAACTAGAACTAATATACCAT